GTGGCTGATTCTCCGAGATGATGGATTCCTCTTGAGGAAGACTTGAATATTCAAGAATCCTTTCTACAGAGGTCATCAGCGACATCGTTTCAATAGACTCTTTTATGCCGTATGCTAAGATACTAATCAGATACGATTGCCATATAGCGAGACCTGCTTTGCTGTTGTCTACGCTGTCTGCAACATGAATATCAAGAAAGGGTCTTGCAGTAGATTTTTTTTAATTAAACCAATATTCTTCAAAATACTAATCACACGTAAAATTAAAAGAACAAACATACCGAAGCTTACATATCAAAAGATTATTTGATTCTATTAATTTGTTCAGAATTTTTTTTGTTGTACTACGTATTTCTGTATTTTCACAAAATCCTTAGAAAGACATGAAGAATATTTAATCTTTAATAGATAATAATTTTTAATAATCTTTTAATTAATTTTAATTTACCATTCTCATTCACCAGTATTAGGGAGAAGCAAATGCAAGCGAGGAACAGGCACATAATTAAATTCATAAAGACAATGAAGGACGACGAGCACGATAAGAAGAGGTACCATGTGCCGCTGTGACGGTCTTGGATCAAGTCGAATTGCTTTCGGATCATCTCTTCGACGCCACTGCTTCTGATTGTCGGTAGACCGTTTAGGGTGGCATTCACGTGTGAGAACAATGGACTCTTTGCTGAAAAAACAAACGCAAATTCTGACAACTGAAATTTACAGATCCTGGGAATTACATTCTGACTGAGAGAAGTAAGAATTTAATAGTCCGAATTTAATGACGATAGTTAAACGATTCAGAAATCTAGAAATTAAAGGCAATTTAAAGTAAAAAGATTTTTTTTCGATAAAAACAATAACTTGTTTCAATACTTACTTACGCCATCGAGACGTTTAATACTTTGGATGATTTTTAAGTAGAACTTTGTCACAAAGAAAAATAGAACGATCAGAATCACTGTCGGTATCAGCATCCATCGATTAATTATCATTTCCATTATCATTACACCGCAAACTGCAAAAAATATCTGAATTGTTTCTAACATCTTTTTGGGCAGCAACTCGTCTATGGTGCCTATGTCCTTTGAAAATCTGTTTAAAATTCTTCCTGGAACACGAAAATCGCGAATCTAAGAGTTATATTTAATAATCCTTACCGCGCACGCGCTAATTCAAATGATTGACGTTTGACTAAAGAAATATTTTATAACTGGCATAAGTTTATTTCCGCATATTTATAATCATTGTATTAATGATCGCTTCGTTTAAGCATTGTATTATAGAAAAAAGTAATACAAGACTGTTTATTACCAGGAACCGTACATAAATAATGAACGTTATTTAAGATACACTCTGTAAATTTTCTAAGCACTTTTAAATTAAATTAAAGTCAAAATAAAAGTTTAAATTTGTATTGAAAAATTTTAAAAATTTCCTAAAAAGTTCTAAAGTACAAAAATTTTGAAAAATTCCAAAACATAATGTATAAAATTTTAAAAATTGAATAAATTTTCACCAATGTATTTCTTCAAATCTCACTATAGGTCAACAATTTTTTTACCCTTGGATATCTCGCGAGTGCTGCTCACCGGAAGGATTGGTGTGAAAAAAAGACATGCGCGCTTGCAGCAGATTGAAGAACATGGTGTTGTGAAGATTGCAGCTCGAGTTCATGCAAACCTTCATAAAGAAAAAGCTGCCAAACAGTATGGTAACTGTGCAGGCGATGATGCAAAATGTGTATACGTATATGGCATCTATAGTGCTGAGCAGGCCGTCTGGATTTAGTGTGAATATCGACCCAAGAAAGCTATTATTGTACATATTCTCGAACTGTTTGTCACTAATATTTCCTATACGTCTGACTTCTTCCAAAGTGGTCCAGTATGAGAGCCAGTAATCACTCCCGGTGATGGCGATCTGACTGATAAAAAAAATCAGCAGCAGCATAAATAAGATGAAGTAGTTGCCGCCGTGATGCAGATACTCCTTGTACACTCTGCCGGATACACGACCGTGTGCCATTGTTTCGGCTTCTGGGTTGTTCTTCATAAAATCCGAAACATCGATATCCGAGTGCTGCATGATTGCAAATTAAAAATTTAATTAGTTGAGCGTACAGTAGATGCAATCCGATAAAGCTACAATACCAATAGCACAATTTGTTTGTTCAATATTGATCCAATATTGAACCAATAATTGCACCAATATATTTACATTGTGAATACATTGTGCAAATTATTTTGAGAATATTATGCAAATAAATTTGACATCGGGCTAGTAGAATACGCCTTAAGATCATTAAAAATGTTATTGTAAAAATGTACGTGCAACATCCCAACGCATTACTAGAAATGTAAAAGTTTTATAGATTGTTCCACTGTTACATCTGATTGTAAGTATAAGAGGGTACCCGACACCGACATAAGTCTTCCAAAGGACACCCATTTATTTCTTGGAAACTAATTGACATTGTTAACTTTATTGAAAAACTAAGTTCATATATTTATAACTTAGTTCTAGCTAAAAATAAATTCTACAAATAACCAAAATGACGAATGCCACTTTTAATTTTTGAGAATTGTATTATAGTTTAAATAATTTTGGATATATTGTCGTTAATATTATTTTGTATGTTTGTAGTTTTCTAAAACTTCTTTAATTATATTTTTCTTTTTTGGTTGATTTTAGGACTTATTTTTCGCTCATTTTTGCTTATCTTAAAAATGTTACGTATTACAACATTTCAAACTGGAATTAAAAAAATTGCTGTATTATTTCTTGATAGAAAATACTTCGCAAATTGTATTTATGTTTTTAAAGTTTTATTTTTATCTTTTATCTAAGATTGTATAGCTCAAACATTCTTAAGAAAATGAGTATAAGAAAATTAATGGGTATTTGAGAAAACCATAACTTTTTTGGCAATATTACTTCTAAAACTCCTCTTATTGTGTTTTATTACTTGTTAATTAGTGAAACTATATTAATATTTTTAATGCAAATATAAAATACAAATTTTTTCAATAATTATTTTATTGTATTACGAGTCTGTTATTATTAGATAAAGATAACATAGAAAATTTTGGTTTCTACGTTTTCCATTATTAAAACTGAAAAGTGAAAGATAATCATACAGTAGAACTTGCGGTCGATAATTCCGAGTCTCGTCTCGTGATTCTTCTCATTTCCGAGGCTCTCGAGTCTATTCCCTTTTTCTGCGCATTGTGACACAAATTGTCCATCATCTTAATGAAACCTTTATTTAACTGTACTAATTCGTTATAGCTTCCTTGCATCTTCACAAAACCCTTAACGATTAAAATAAAAATATATTTAGTACGAAAACTATTTATTACTCAAGAATCTTCTAATTAATTGTAAAATTTAATATATAAATAAATAAATATCAAGATAGATTGTTAATGTTATATACAATTAAGAAACAAAAAACGCCAAATTAATATATAAATTTTTAATATAAGAAATTCTTTTATTTAAAAGCGATTAAAGATTGTTTTAGATAACTCACTCGATCGAGCACGACAATGTGATTTGCCGGTTTGAGAAATTGCAACTGATGAGTAACGAGTATCCTCGTTTTACCGTGAAGATATTTGATGATGCACTTCCAATAGAGATGCCTAGCAACGCGAGTATCCACCGCACTCAAGGGATCATCAAGCAAATAAAGATCTGCCTGTCGGTAAACCGCCCTTGCGAGATTGATTCGCGCTCTTTGACCTCCGGACAATGATACACCTTTATCGCCGACCAACGTCATGTCTCCCTGCGGAAACTGTTGGAAATCCTTTGTCAAGGCGCATACATTTGTCACCTGAAACGTTTCTCAATTAATTAAGAAATAAATAATATGAGTAGGAAATGTTAAAATAGTTAACATTAAAAAAATAGATGTTCTTCTTTTATATAGATGGAATCACAGAATAAAATTTCAGCAAAGTTTATATACTCGCTAAGAAATATCATTTTTTTATTGGCAATCAATTAATGAGTCGCGATTCATATTTATGATTAAAACTAAAAATTGAAGGATCTAAGAATTGTGCCACATCTAAGAATTTATTAATATACTGTCGTAAAATAACAAAGATGAGAATGATGATATTAATAGTATCTACATTGAAAATGCTCTGCTGTACTATGATAACTACCTGCATGTACCTGGCCTTGTCATAAGACTGGCCAAACAGTATGTTTTCCCTCACAGTACCATCAAATAGCCAGGGCTCCTGACTAGCATAAGATATGCGCAAATTTGAATTGCTCGTAAAGTAACCATCAGACAAATTGTCCTGAAAGTTAGACCTGGAGGAGTTCTGAGTGAGAATCACGGAACCAGAGTCAATATTTAGTTCCTTCAATAGCAGATATAGCAAGGACGATTTACCGGAGCCCACAGCGCCGACCACAGTGCACAACTGGCCCGGTTCGATAGTTAAATTGATATCACATAAAGTCGGCGGCAATTGGCCGCTGATCCAATTGACAGAAACGCACTGAAGCTTTACGTAAACTGGAAGATCAGATAATTTCTGAAACTCGGAAAGTTTGATACTTCTATCTTTCGAGATGTATCTCTCTGTTTGATTCTCCTTATTAATTGTTTCGTTTGGTTTCTGAGATTTAGATTGTAACTGCGGCACCGTTTCCAAACATCCCCTATTCACTTCGTCCATCAGCAGAAAGTTCTGTACAAGAAGTTAAACACTTAAATTTAATCGCAAGTATGTGATAGGAATATCGATAAGATGGACTGAGAGTTTGTTGTGAATTTGAAAATAATGTGACAGCGTGTATATACCTCCAATCGTTTTATAGACACCATCGATTCGCTCAATGTTATCAGCCCAAACGGAAAGTAATGCCCGGCAGTTATTCGAAGAAAGAAAAAGTATGTTGATATTTCGTAAGTCACATTGGCAGTCATATCATTTCCCATTAGAACAAATGTTATCAGGGTGAAGTAGAGGTTCAATCGCTCGGTAAACCAAATGGTGGCCAAATATACGGCGCGCACGAACGATGAAATTTTGATCCTCTTGATTTCCATCTTTCTAGTGTTTGACACGATCTTGCTGAACGATTTTTCCCAGGCATACATCTTTACTACCTGAAAGATCCATCATAACGAGAGCCATCATATATCGTAAACTATCATAAAATTGTTCTCTTATAGAATTTCACAATTAGACATTAATGTTGTTATCTGGTTAATTTAACAATAAGATGGTTAACAATGGAGCATATGTTTACGTAAAATAACTAATCATATACTATCCTGTATTATCTTTTTGGGAAATACCTGTATCGCAGCTACCAGTTCACTCATCAGCTGCACTCTTCGGTCCGTCAGTGGCGCGATCATGGCTCTGATTCGGCGACTTAACCAGCTGGAAGATCCATGTATTATTACGGCAATAAACAACATCGATCCGATGCCAACAAGAACCGAAATGCCGATTTTTTGCCACATTATGGTTCCTATGATCACTAACTGCAAATTAAAAAAACCTGGCCAACTTTAATAGATAACACGATAATTACAATAGCTTTAACATATATTCATATATAATAATAATCTATAAAAGTGATTAATTTAAGTGATTTTAGTTAAAGGAAAAATATGATCAAGTTGTGCTGTGTAATTTATATCTTGGAAGTACACGTATGTTTTTCACATTATTAAAAAATGATTACCTGAATTGGTAAGATCACTATATAACACAGATATATTGCTAATTCATCGAAGCAAGCAACGTCATTGCTGAGAAGATTCATGATATGTCCAGTACTGATTTGGTTCATAGATGCTCTATTTAATCGTAATAACTGCAACAGTTTTTGAAATGATTATAGAGCTTGCTATTACATAATTTAAGTATTGGATTTAGTGAACAAAATTTCTTCTTTATGCTATTGTTTTCTATTTTCTGTTTTTCTAAATAAACATGATCATTTTTTAAAATTTTTTGTGAACGATAAATAAATCAGTCGTAATGGTACCATTTATATTACAGGCATATATAAGTCTCAAGAGTCTTAAACTTATTTTACTTAAAATTACTTATAATATAACAAAACAATATAACAAAACTCAATTTAACAAACAGTTTTAACGTAAAATATTATATATATATAATAACAAATTGTTAGCTATGACTTTAAGATGAAATGTAAGAGATATAAAATATTTTGGATATCATAATTATAAAATAATTATAAAATAATTATAAAATAATTTCTTTCTATACTTGTGATTGTAACTAATAAAAATTGTTATTATCTGGTTTTGCTCCATTTTCATATAATTTAATGTATTTTAAAGAAATACATGCAGTTAGAAGACATGTGTGATTTTGCGATGAGTATCAATATATTATGGATAGTAAAAGACATAGGACTATAGAAAATTTTCAAACTTTTACGACAAATCGCCAAAGTTATTCATATATATTTGAAACTGTAATAACTATCATATTCTCAATTCCGTATAGTAGTCCACGTAATGATCTGACTATAACAATCTCAATACAATCAGCCACTTCTTTAAACATTAAAGGTAATTAGTTTAAATTAATCCTTCCGACACTGAAATCGGTTTCCACGTCAAATAATATAATCCAACGATTGAATCCTTATTTTTTTACATCTATGATTTCTAACGTAGATAAAGCTTACGCGTTGATCCAACGATTTCATAAAAGTATTACACAATCATTATTTCATTAATTAAAACAGTTTTACCAATTCTAAAGACTTTTAAAAATCTTTTTCTTTTCCTTGGAAAAACTAGAAGCCAAATTATTCCGCAATATTACCTTCCGATAGAGGAGGGAGTTGCAGGCGACGCGTATTCTCATGCCGATTTGCTGCGACTGCATTGTTGCATGTTGTGTAATTATAGCTTCGATGACATTCAAAATGACAAGAAATGCAACATAGATCAGTACATTGTCCATTTCTGTTTTGTTCTTCACGGTGGAATCTCTGGCAAAGTAATCGATGACCAAACTTTGAAAGATCGGTATTGCCATGCGTACTACACTGCTCTGAAAGCGAAAACGTTTAAATTTTTATACTTAATTCTAATGTTAAAATGTCATAATTTCAAGCTTATAAATCTAATGAATTTAAGAAGAGGAAAGGGGAGAGAGAGAGAGAGAGAGAGAGAGAGAGAGAAATATCCCAGATTAACAATTTTCTTTCTCTTTTATTGTTAGCTGAATCTAATCAGAGATTACCGTCTAATATAATAAATTTTTCTCTTGTTTTTTGTGGGAATATTTTTCAACACTTGTTGTTATGCTCAACACACTTGATCTAATATCACTATGACATAATGTCTCTACTTACAGACATACCTGGATAAATGTGCAAAATATGACTATAAAATATGGCAACCAAAAGGCGTTACAGATAGCCTTGTATAACCTCGGACGGGCGTTCTTTTTCAATGGCACTTTCTGTCCGGCTTTGCTCATGGTGTATTCCAGTTTATCGAGTTCGCGATTCCAGTATCTGGATAAAAAATGCGTTAGAATTATAGAAAAGTGGGGAGATCTATTAGTTAAATTTGATTAATCTCATTTTCTCCGCATTCTACTACATTCAAACTTTAAAATGTATTTAATGTAAAATAATAGTTCGTGAAATAGCGAATTGATATTCACAAATACATATATAAATTACATAATATATAAATACATATGTTTATCCTTATACACTGGTCAACAAAATTAACGCGTAGGTAAATTTATATCAAAATTTTGCATAACTTTGGACAATCGGATTTTACTTTTCAAAAGATGACGGATGGAAAAAAAGTAGATTCAAAATCGATTAAAAGAATCTTTAGAAGTACAGACTTTACTCTTAAGAATGAAAAAGAAAACTTTTCGATATAACCATTTTTCGCTGAGTTACAATTGCCTAAAGTTATGCAATATTTTGATATAAATTTACCTATGCGTTAATTTTGTTGACCAGTATATTTTTAAACAATAATTAAAATTTTTTTATTATTCCATATAGCAAAAGTGAGAGATACGGTTATTACAAACGCTGTTATAATGTGTATTTATAATTATATTTGTTTATTGTCTCCAACGCGGACGATACTCACTTCTCAAGATGATCGGTCAGTGTTTCGGATTCGTCTACTTTAAGCGGCCGATAAATGTCAGATTCCTTCCAAATCACGCTTAGCGCTCGTCATATATAATTCGCGCATCCACCTATGCAAACAATCAGTATGTGTTTTACATCAGTATATTGTGTTCGCGACTATAATGATTGTTATGGAGCAATAAAAAATAGCAAAAGCTGTGTTCTTTACTTTTATTTTTAAATTCCCTTTCTATTTTAAATATCCCATTATTCTTTTCTATCAATAATGATAAATGCATATGACACGAAGAATTGAAGGCTTTATGTATTTTCGTACAAATTTCATGAACACACAATATATTAATTTTTAACTTTAAATAGAAAACATGTTTGCAAAATGACCCAAAATAATTATCTGTTACTTCAACGCCAACATGATAAAATATGTAAAGATGTATAATTCGCAAGAAATCAAAAAAATTGAAAAAATACTTTCCACGGACAGGTGTATTTTCTGTTCTAAATTTACTTTGGTGATGTTTTATTAGGAAAATTGAAGAGCTGGATAATACAAGAAAAATATACAAATACCCTCTTATATATGTGATAACGACTATACACCGTTATGCGATATGAAATATTATGTGCACGGGTATGTGTAAGTGGATTATTAACACACAATTAACATGGAATGTGTTAGCTGATATGAAGAAAGAAAAAAATAAAAATATTACTCAACATAAATTGCTTCAATTTTTTGAATGGAAAGAAAAATTTTGGATAAAGTTTTCGTAGTGCTTTTCCATTTCTTTAAAATAAATATAAAACGTAAAATGTACAAGATTGAAAGTAGCTAACCCTAAAATATTTCCTTTTGTTGAGGAAAAGAATATTTTTTCTTAATAAAATACAAAAATTGCTTCTTTAAAAATAGAATTTGTGATATTTCTTTACATTAAGAGATTCAGCTCCAACCTTGACTTTGACATATGTTATAAAGATGAAGGTACTGATCAATTTTTTCTTATTAATTGATGGTATCATGTACTTTTTTAGATATAATTAAAACTCATTTTTTTAATTTCATTACGTTTTTTATGGCACCTTGTGTATAATAATATATAAATAATGTATTGAGTGAACGTGTTTTCCTCTTTCCGAAGCAAGTCCTCCTGGGATTTATAATTGTACTGATTTACGTAGATTTTCGACTTTCCACGCGAAGCGAGGTTCACACTCCCTCCCACCTTTGATCATGGGTCAATGAGGTTTATGGTTGCATTGATTCACATGGATTTTCGACGTAAGAGGTCGACCTCATTTATCCGCCCCGTACTTACGAGGCGTAACAAGATTTATAATTCTATTGATTTGCATGAGTTCATGTACAAGTAGGTTCATATACAAAGTAGGTGTCATAAAATAATGAAATTTAGAAAATAAGTTTTAAGTAAATACATATATATATATCAAAAACTATACAAGACCGCCGAATTAATTTAAAAGCCAAAGTTGATCAGTACATTCATCTCAATAACATACTCGTATGTCAAAATTACGGTCATCGGAGCTGCATCCCCTAATGTGAAGAAATACCGAATTTCGCTTCCAAAAAGAAAATTCTTCATATTAAAAAGGCAGCTCTTTTTTTCTATAAGAAAAAGAAAAATATTTCCTCCTTATAAAATTTATTTTTTTTAAAGAAATCAAAATTTTATTTTAAGGAACAAAAACACTTCGTTCTTGCATTTACTGCTTTCTTTTGCCAAATATATTCTTAGGTATAATACTCGTGACAAACCAGAAAAATAGAGCACTGAACATGTTTGCAGTCTCCCTTGGGTTTCGCTTCATGTCGCTTGTATCCTTATTCATGTTGAAACACGGTCTTACAAAATTTGACACTTGAAACTAAAAAGAAAAAATGAAAACGAGCATTTTTATTTGCTTTCCTCTTTTCCCTCTCTGTTTTCATTTCGACTTTTTTCTCTTACCTGGTGTCTTTCGAAACACGCTTTTCAACAGTCAACTTTACTGTAACCATCAGTAACTTTGTCGCTGTTTCCCATATCGGTTTTTAAGAATGTTACTGATAATATGAAACAGTTACGATAACTCCCACACCCGCAAATTGTATATATAACGCAGTTAGTATGTTAGTATTATGCAATTAGTATGTTTTTTCTTTCTCTTTTAGCTTGATTATCAAAATAAAGTTTCATTTGTTATTGAATTTAACTATTTTAACAGAGATTATATAATAACTAAACAGATAATTATTTTAATAGTAATAGTATTATTTTAAACAATATTTAAGAATTTTAATTTGACACACAAGAGATGCACAAGAGATAAACAAACTGGACATTAGCAAAAAAATTCATGTTTCCTCTTTTATTTTAATCAAAGTTCAATTTAAAAGGATTTTTTTGTAACTTAATAAAATAATTTTAAATTAAAATATTAATTTAAAAAAAGGAGACAGATAAATTTTTTATCATAATTTGATGTACACATATAACTTTATTAGATTTAATATTAAACTTTAATTACATGTATTACGTTATAATATGATATCAATAATATTATTATTGTTTAAAAATAAATTTTTTAAATATTTTAAATTCACAATTTCTGTGTTATTTTGTAAATTTAATGCCCTTTATTGCCTATTTATACATGTATCATCTCAGATATTAATCTGTATGTTATCTCAGATAGCATTAAAATATTTCTCTTTAGTTTAATCAGCTATACTTTTACAATAGCGCATTGTCAATAATACCGGACACCCTGTACAT